TAACTCATACTTAGCGTCTTGAAATACACTAAACCAACTAACCTTGTAATCGAAAATAGGCTGCACCAACCGTGACCCATTTAAGCGCCGCACGGCCGATCGCGTGCTTCCCGCTCTAGTGAAATTTTCTATTTGACGCATGTTGCAGCAAATAGTCAGTCCTCCACACATGTACGAATGAGCGATCGATGATATATTGGGCCGGCCGATTTAAGCATGTTTTCTTGTTTGGTTTTATCGGTTTTGGAAACCTTTGTTTCTAAACAAGGGATTTTCTGTTAGTTCTCTATTAGGTTTTTCGGTTTCCTTTTTGGTTTTTATTCTTCTGTTCATTTTTTCTTCAAAAATTCACAAATTTCAAATGTTTCAGAACTCTTTTGAAATTCAAAAATTGTTTGATATTTTAAAAATTGATTCCATTTAAAAAAATGCTTGGAATTTAAAAAAATATGCCTATTTTTTCTAAAGCTGTTCACTTTTTGTTTTCTGAATTGAAAAGTGTTTGGATTAAAAAAACTTGTTCAATATTTTCAGGTATTCTTCATTTTTTTCAAAAAATGTTAGAATTTCAAAACTTGTTCACACTTCTAAAAGAATATTCAAATTTTACGAATCAGTTTTTTATTTTGCGTAAAATGATCCAAATTTTATTTTATTTTTTCGAAATTTTCCAAAAATGTTCATAAACTTGAAAAATACTCCTATGTTGCGATGCTACAGTAATCATACAGTAACACCGGGACAACAAATAATTGCTACAGTGCTCTCGCTGCACTGAACATCGTTACAGTCAGTGATTGTTTGATACAGCGCTAATGGGCCGTCGGCCCGGCCGTGCTGCCCCTGGACGCAATAAGCGTCATATAGGAGCTCCTCTCGCTCTTCTAAAAAAAAGCTCCCCTCGCTAGCAGCGCCCCTCACTCCTCGTCCTGTTGACTGCCGCCGCCGCACCGCCGCCGCCGCCGCCCAGGAGACCGGTATCTAGATTAGCGCTGCCGGCCATCGCCTTAATGCCAGCCATCATGAACACCGCAACCTGAGAGCTTGGGCATGCCATGGGCATGGGATCGGAGCCTCGGCAGCAACGCCGCCGTCCCTGCGCCATCGTCACTGACCAAACCAGGCGGCCGGAGCTCCCACGAGGAGGTACACCTGCTCTGGTAGACTGAGCTCTTCCTAGTCCGGAGGCAAAGCTTCTCTATTCCACATCTCGAAGGGGAAGAACCGCGCGCGACAATGGCCAGGGCCGCCGACTACTACTCCCTCCTCCAGAGCTGCATGGGCTGCTTCCGGCAGGGCAGGTCCCTCCACCGCAGGCTCGTCGCGTCCGCCTCTCCCCCGGACCTGCACCTCAGCACCAAGCTCGTCCTCTTCTACGCCAAGCACGGCGACGTGGCCGCCGCCCGCAGGGTGTTCGACGGAATGCCGCACCGGAGCGTCGTGTCCTGGACGGCCATGGTCTCGGGCTACTCCAGGAACGGCCGCCCCCGGGAGGCGCTGGAGCTGTTCGCCCTCATGCGCACTTCCGGTGACGCCAGGCCGAACCAGTTCACGTATGGCAGCGTGGCCAGCGCGTGCGCGTCGGCTGGGTGCGTGAGGAGCGGGGAGCAGGTGCACGCGTGCGCAGCCAAGGGGAGGTTCGTGGGGGACATGTTCGTGCAGAGCGCCCTCATGGACATGTACCTGAGGTGCGGGTCTGTGGCTGACGCGAGGCGGATGTTTGTGGAGATGGAGAGGAAGGATGTGGTTTCTTGGAATGCCTTGCTCAGGGGTTTTGTGGAGCGTGGGCATTGCAGTGACGCGCTTGGGTTGTTATCCTCAATGCTGAGAGAAGGTACGTGCTGGCAACAAAATCTGCCACTCATTGCACTGCTTTGAAATGTGCAGTCCCGCTCACATACTGCTATAAACACCTCAAATCCGTGCCCTTCATTGTAATTGTAGTGTGGCATGCATGCCATATTTGATTTTAGTTCAAAACAATAATATGATATACAAAATTTGTGACTCTCTGAATATATAGTTTTTTCTTATAGAAATGTACCAGACAGGGTAACCAAAATTGTTACTCATCTCTGAGGTAACGTTGACATAAAATTAGCTCTTTCAAAGAAAAATAATCCACTGTTCAACTTCTGTTTGTCTTTTAGGCTTGTTAGTTTAAATTTCTGTTATACTGTCGTTGAATGTTCAAAGTGCATATTTTCCTTGATTGTTAACCATTCACATAAAAAAACTTGACAGAAATGCTGCCTGACCATTTCACATTTGGAAGCGCTCTAAAAGCTTGTGGAGCAGTCAGTGTGCTCACTAACACGGAGCTGATTCACACTTGCATAATAAAGTTGGGCTACTGGAGTGAAAAGGTTGTTATTGGATCACTTATTGATGCTTATGCAAAATGTCGGAGCATGAGAAGTGCACGAGTGATATATGACTCCATATGTGAACCAGACCTTGTGTCGTCTACTGCGCTGATCAGTGGGTACTCCATGGATAAAAACCACACTGAAGATGCAATGGAGCTTTTCTGCAAGATTTATCGTAGGGGTTTGAGGATTGATGGTGTTCTGTTAAGCTCCTTGCTTGGCCTTTGTGCTAATGTTTCATGTCTCAGATTTGGGACACAGATTCATGCTTACATGTGCAAAAAGCAGCCAATGGGAGACGTGGCATTGGACAACGCTCTAGTTGATATGTATGCAAAGGCAGGCGAATTTTCAGATGCCAGGCGTGCTTTTGATGAAATGCCCTGCCGAAATGTGGTTTCATGGACTTCACTCATTACTGCCTGTGGGAAAAATGGTTTTGGGGGAGATGCTGTGAGCTTTTTTGAGAGGATGGTGGAGGATGGTGTGAAGCCAAACGATGTGACATTCCTTTCTCTTCTGTCTGCTTGTGGTCATTCTGGTCTGATGAGCAAAGGGATGGAGTATTTCACTTCCATGATGAGCAAGTACGGTATTGATCCAAGAGCTGAGCATTTCAGTTCTGCTATCGACCTTCTTGGCCGTGGGGGTCAGTTAGAGGAGGCGTGGAAGCTAGTGGAGAATGTGGATACTCAACCCAACTCGTCAATATTGGGCGCTATGCTTGGAGCTTGTAAAACGCATGGAAACATGCCTCTCGGAGAAACTGCAGCCAAGAATCTTATCAGTAAAGGTGCTGAGAGTTCTGTACACTATACCGTGCTTGCAAATTTGTATGCGGAATCTAATTTATGGGAGGATGCTCAAAGTACAAGGAAATTAATGGCTGAAACATCTGGAGGCAAGGAAGCTGGTTGCAGCGTTCTCTGAAGATTACTAATAAAGTTATGCTTTCCAAGATATTCAGATAATGGTCATTTGCCCTGATTGATGCACCAAATGCATCTGGATTACACCTCAGACCTTTGTCCACAATGAACCTGACCGATCCAACATGTAGAGCCTTCAGATCTTTGTAAACTCTAACCGACTTCAGAATCTTGCCCGTTTGATTAAGCAGTGAGAATCTAATGACTTATCAGCAGCCATCATGTTCGTTCAGGGTAAGTGCACATTGTGCTTAATACTAAAAATAAAAACTTTTGTACAGTTTGTTCATTTGGATAATCTGTTGGGTTATATTCTCTGTGAATGCATATCTTGCAACTTTTACTAACTGTAAAAGATTTGCGGATGCCTGTTTGACTCATAAAGTCTTGTCAGTATTCTCAATTATGTCCGCTGTATTGATTGTACAGTCACAGGTTTATGGTCTTAATCCTTTTTGTTACTTCAAAGTTGTCTCTATCTGATACCTATAAGAATACTGTAAGAACATGCAGTGGATAAACCAGTTTGTTATTCCCTTCTGTACATGACTATATGGCGATACCCTGTTCTCCCACTCTATGCTATCCATTTCTCTTTTGATATGGGTACAAATGTTGAGTATTTTTTCAAATAGGTGGATACATGATTTATGACTAATCTGTGATCCCTCCTTTATATGTTGAATCTGACAGTGCCAATATCATGGCCTTGATCTATTGCATACCCTGTGTCGGTGTCGAGTGAAGCAGATTTTAAACTTTTAAGTCTCGAGAAACCAAAAGCCACCACGTTTCAGCAACCCAGTGAATAATTGAATATGTTATCGAACCCATGTGCTCTTGACTTAAGTTTTGTTTGTTGAGTTGATTTACCTAGTAAAATATGTTAATCACTACTTTTGATCTGAATGGCAAAATATTTTTTTGTACCATTGTAGAAGATCTTATATTTGTTGAAAATGGCATACATTTTTTTTCAGTATCATATTGTAGTATAGTCCTGACTGATACACCAAGCTTGCTCGTCAGCTCGATCATGACGAATCATAGAACTGAAACGTCTTCTTTTTTTAACTTGCATGCATTTGACGAGCGGTTGCTGCTCTATGAACTAGCATAATACGGTTAGTCTTCTTTCAAATTGCATCTGAGGATAATTATTACCAGAATCAGTCGTTCCCTAAATAATATTAAAATAGGGGATGATAACAGCTAGCAACTTACAGTTCAAGTATTTGATTTGGCACTTTTTAGGAACATGCCGTAGTCACATCTTAAGAGTGTCGGTTACACAAGTGCATGGGCCATGATGGATGGTTATCATTCATCCAATGCCTGTTGGCTAAAATAGCTCGTAACTGGTAGATTACAGATCCTTAACTTCTGGAACACTTGCTATCCCATCATTACTCCCTAGATGCCTCATCCGAGACTATTATACAATTCTTGCACATCCACGCTAACCACAGAATTCCTGAAATACTGATATTCAATCATATGCTGAAGTCTTAGCCAATCTACTGTCTGTGTGATATAAGAAAATAGTACAGCTGTAAAGGCATGTAGGCTTCTAGAGCCACTATACTAATATTGAGCAAAATGGCTTGCTTACTATCACTTATGTGCAAGCTAAGCAACTGAACTATATAAAGCAGGCTGTGAGCTCTAGTTCACCTAAAAAATCAGCAAGGACATTCACAACATGGTTTACAGACTCCTCTTTGGATTTCTCCTTCCTCTTGTCTTACAACCCTCCTTAGTGTTATGCAATCCACCAGAGCTGAAGATTGGCTTTTACCAATACACATGCCCGTATGCAGAGGTCATTGTTCGCGATGAGATTGCCAGGATCATCTCCCACGTCCCAAGCCTCGCTGGTCCTCTGCTTCGCATGCACTTCCACGACTGTTTTGTGAACGTGTGCACACACCTTAGTCTCTTCTGAACTGCTTCAGTTGAATTTAGAGATGTACTGAACTGTTTGTGCTGTGCAGGGTTGCGATGGTTCTATTCTGCTTGATAGCATACCAGGATTACCATCCGAAAAGGAATCGGAACCGAACCTCAGCCTGCGAGGCTTCGGCACAATCGACCTTGTCAAGGCTAAACTGGAGCAAGCCTGCCCTGGAGTGGTCTCATGCGCTGATATCCTAGCTCTCGTGGCAAGGGATGTTGTACTACTGGTAAGAACTAGCAGTTTTGTTCATTAGTTTTGATCTTATTCTTCAAGTAAGAGAAGTGTCATAGTTCCGAAAAACGGCGGGGATAGGACGATTCAGGCCAACACTGGTGGCAAAACCCACACAGTTTTGACCGGCTTCGCGGAGTTTGACCATCTCTTGTGTATTTACTGGACAGTACCTGCTCTCTTGCTAACTTCATTTTCACTATGCAACAGACCCATGGGCCTTACTGGAATGTTCCAACTGGGCGGCGAGATGGGTTGAGATCGGTGAAGGATGAAGCTTTGAACAACCTACCTCCACCTTTTTTTGATGCCACTCGTAATCTGAACCAGTTCTTCGTCCCGAAGGGTCTTGATGCGAAGGATCAGGTGGTTCTGCTAGGTATATACTATTCTTCAGGAACTAAACTCGATGCATGATCTAATAAACTAGCGCTCTTCTGATTCTTCTCTGTTTTAATTTACTTGAACTTTGCCGATCCCAACAAATCTCTAGTAGCATTCCCCAATAAAGGTGCTCGTTTCCATGCACAACTAAGCAATGGGTTAATCAAGCAAGGCCGTATGCTGTATGCACGTGCCAAGTCAACAGAGACGGGGAAAACTAAACTTTGTCGGTTCTTGTAGTTAAAGGGTTAGCATGATGCAAAACCAAGAGTCACTTTGTTCTGGTAGAAAAACAAGTATAACTCCTTATTCGAAACTAGTACGTGCTACATTATTTGCTGTTCATTTTGCCCGCGCATAAGAGATGGGGTAGAAAACCTCTGTAGTTCACGATAAACTAGTAATGTGTTGCAACTTTATTTCTGATTGTTGCAAATATTGCAGCTCACGCTCTGTAGGAAACCATGGAAACTGACACATTCTAACTTGTTCATGCATATTGACAGGGGGGCACACCCTTGGGACCTCCCACTGCTCGTCCTTCTCGGACCGGCTGTACAACTTCAGTGGCACACAGATGCCGGACCCGGCGCTGGACAGGCGGTACGCGCTGCGGCTGAAGAGCAAGTGCAGGCCCGGCGACGCGACGACGCTGGTGGAGATGGACCCGGGGAGCTTCAGGACATTCGACGCGAGCTACTACCGTCACGTCGCCAGGGGGAGGGCGCTCTTCACCTCGGACGAGACGCTCATGCTGGACCCCTTCACCAGGGACTACGTCCTGCGCCAGGCGGCCGTCGCCGCTGCCGGCGGCTACCCCGCCGAGTTCTTTGCGGACTTCGTGGCGTCCATGGTGAAGATGGGGAACATGCAGGTGCTCACCGGCACGCAGGGCGAGGTCAGGCGGCGCTGCGGCGCCGTGAACCCGATTGGCATGTAGGCCGCTGGCGGTGGTCAGTGATCACCGGCCCGTAAATTATCGAAAGTCTGTGGGTATTGTATAATTGATGTGTATTACGCGTGTACATTTGTGTGCATCATTGTCTTTCTTCATTTGCATTGTTTGTTTGTGCGATGTATTCAAATTCAAATAAAATGTTTGCTTGATTGATTCGGTGGAATAAAATGCCAGCCTCGATGAACACTCTACAGGAAACTTGAGGCTGGGATGTGCTTTCTGGCAGAAGAGTTTACTTGGTGCCATGGATATTCTATTTCCGTAGGCCGTAGCTAGCTAGCTAATGGATTAAGCATAACAACAGATTAAGCCAGCTCCACATGGATGGACGTGGACCACGCCATCCACTCGTCAACTCTTCAAGCTTGCCTCACACTCCTTGTACACTTCCTTTCCAGCCTTTTGGTCATTATTATCCGGTAAATTTGTTAAGGCCAGTTGAGTTGTGAGTAAAAAGAAGATAATTAATTTATAATAATCTCATGAGACCAGGTTTATGATAATTTCAGACAACTAATAATCAGCAACATTTTTTGTTTGAGCTGAGCAATATTTTTTTGATCATCATTTGTATACACCACCTTTCTTTGCTCGTCCAGTGATATCACCCCAAGTTCCCAACCGAAAGACAGTGAACCGGAATATACCGTACACCAAAGCTCGAAGAAACCTAGCTGGGTTAGCCAGCTAGCTTTGGCATCTCCATCGCTTTCTGTTCCTTGCTCTGTCTTCAAAGAATCACCACGGGCCAGTATAACACCCGAAACAACGACGTAATCAAACCTGTACATGCACGCCAATGCACACGTAGGGTGACCAGAGACCGGACAAGGGGGCACGCGCGTGCGCCGCCATGCAGCCGGCGCCGCCCGCCCGGACCGCCGGCTGGCTCCACCGCCCGCTCCCGAGAGAGCGGCCGCACCTGACCCGCTGCACCAAGATCGTCTGCTCGGCCTTCCTCACCCTGCTCCTCGTCGCCGGCGTGCTCCTCTTCGTCGCCTACCTCGCCGTGCGCCCGCACCGGCCGCGCTTCCACGTCGTCGCCTTCTCCGCCGCCGGCATCCAGCCGGCCGGTGGCGCCAACGCCGGCGTGGTCTTTTCTGGGCAGCTCTCCATCCGCAACCCGAACCGGGACGTGGCCTTCTTCTACGACCGGCTCTACATGTCCGTGCTCTACCGCCAGTACGGCGCCGTCGTCAGGGACCACGACCTGGCCGGCGGGGCGCCCATGTACCAGCCGCCCAAGACCACGACGCCCCTCGCCTTCGAGGGCGTCGCCGTGCCGGCGGGCCCCGCCACGGCCGACATGGCCAGGGCGGCCGCGGAGGCGGGAGGTGGCGCGGTGGAGTTCACGGTGAGGGTCCGGTCGAGGATCCGGGCCAAGGTGGCGGTCTGGGGGTCCCACTGGCACCCGCTCCACGTGGACTGCGACGTGGCCGTGGGCCCCGACGGGCAGCTGCTGCCGGAGGCCCGGCAGAAGCGCTGCGCCATAGACTTCCTCTAGGTGCAGTCCGCCTGCATGAGTACGCACATAACAAGCGTTTAGTAATAACATTCCAATGTAATCTGCCGGCAAGTAATTAACATCATATAATTCCAAATCAAACCCAAACCAAATCCTTGATTGTGGGGCCCATCACCTGTTGCTTCTGTGTATAATTCCATTGCCTCCTCCATGACTTTGGGCTGTGATAAAAGCCTTGCTCTTCTCCTCCACGATGGATGAGTTTTGAATGGGAAGAAAGAGAGCAAATCTGTCAACGCCGACTCCCCTTCCATCCTTCCTACCTTGCCAAAGAACAAAGGGGCAGCGTGGGGGTCGAAACCAGCAGCAGCCAGTAGCATCATTCCAATGTAGTCCGCCTCTAGCTCATTCCTACAATACGGAGTGGTACATGTAATGTAATTAACATCATACTCCCTCTGTCCGAAAATAAATGTCTTAATTTTAGTAGTACAACTTTGTATTAAAGTTAATACAAAGTTGAGACACTTATTATTTTGGGACGGAGGGAGTACATTCATACTCTTACAAAACAACATCGTCTAAGTAACACGAAGTAAATACTTGCATACACAAACACTTTAAGATGCATGCATGAACAAGGGTGGGGTTAAAAGAAGTGATGAAATTAATATACCTTCGTAGCAATGGCGCCACGAGGAGGTTGGTTGGGAACCACAACCTGAATATTTGGATCATCTCAGACGAGTGCCCCGCAATAACATGCCCAACCTATATATGTATATAGAAACCAATAAACAATACTACCGGCTTTGAAAATTAACAACCTCAGTAATCCAAAACCAACGAACAAACAAACAGATGTATGTACCTCATGCGCGATGAAGGAGGCAATCTCAGCATCCGTGCTGAAACGATCAAGTAATCCCGTGTAGACTACAATCTTACCACCGCCGCCAAAGCAATGTCCTTTCTTGCTGTTGTGTTCGGCAACTATCACCTCCCAATTGAGCTCGTCGATCCAATCCAGACACATCGCCATGTGTGGTGGTTCCCGTCCTGGTTGTTCTATCTTGCTCTTGATGGACAAGCCACGACGGATTGCGCGAGTGATCTTCGAGCCAATGGCGTGGACACGGACACTCTGGTGGTGGTGTGGGTCTACGATCTCGGAGGCATGCTCCTTCTTGAAATCGGCAAAGCGGGTCTCTCCGCTCGCGCGCGCTGTCCTAGTAGAGAAGATGACCTTGTGAGTGCGGTTGGTGTAAGGCACAGTCTCGACAACAAATTCGCGGTTGATGATCTTCCTTGCGCCTTTGCGAAAAATTCGGGGCGGCACAATTGCTGTCATGGCCCCCCGCAGCGTGTGGGAGTACCCGCGAAGAGCCAAGTGACTGGTCACCGACCTCCAGAGGGAAGCACAATGGTCCTGAGAAACACGCAATGCCATCGACATGGGTTGACAGAAGGGTTGCAGGAAACGGAAGGCTTCAATGAGGAGGGAGCGCAAGCTCATCAGGCACGAGTTCATGATTACTTGGTGTGTTTCTCTATATATAGGCGGCTTTCCTCTATTTTCTCGAGGCAAAGACAACAACCTCCTACGTGCGTTTCTTCAGTGTAAACTCGTACGTGCGCGCGAGGCTCTATTATTATTTGGCCGCTGCCCATCGCCGTGGAGGAGCACGAGTCGGATTCCTGTCGGATGCTTAACGGGCTTCCGTTTCGGGAACCATACGTGCTTTATTTCTCAAGATCTCAGATTAGGCTGGTACGGAGTACATCCGTCACAAATTAATTATCTTAATTGTCTTATATAGACTCAGAAAAAAAAAAGATTTGTCTAGATATGGATGGACCTAAACTAAAACGTGTAGATAAATACACTTAATTCGGGATGAAAGGAGTATTAGTTACTGATGGATTGCATCCCCTAAAAAAAAGTTACTGATGGACTGCGCATGCCACTCGCGCACGCAATTCTGCTCTCCGTTTTCAAAAAGAATCGCGTGACGATACTGATGAAAATTTTACGTTGAGATACATACACCAATGTTCCCTGCCTTAAAAAAAGAAATACACCAATGTTCCTTCGGTTCCAAGAAAAGTTAGGGTTCCTCTGTCTCTCACCGGCGCCGGCGCCGGTCCGCCTCGTCTCCGGTGGCCTTAGGACCATGGGGGCGTGGTTGATCCCGGCCTTTGCTGGCGGGAGGGCTCCGTTTTCAGATGCTTCTTTGAGTTTTGTTAGGGTTTGTGTCCTGCTCGATAAGGTGAGACGACAATGGCTCCTTGAAGATGGAATAATGTTCTCCCCGCCTAGCCACCGTCCTGGTGGTGCGTCTAGCATCTCCAGTGGGCGTGTGGAGGTATGTGTCCGGTGGATCTGCTCGGATCTGGTCGTCGTTCGTCTACGTTCGTGTGTCTATAGGTTTGATCCTTTCGATCTATGCTACTCTTCATCAGTGGCGGTTGATGTTTTGGTGTGCTGGTCCTATGGGGTCTTAGCACGACGAATTCCCGACTGTCTACTACAACAAGGTTTGTCTGGCTCCAGCGAGTGAGGGGCGACGACGGCGCCGCGCTTTCGGCTCGCTTCAGTGCTTGTAGCTGTCCCTAGGTGGTCTACGGATGTGGATGTAATTTTTATTATTTCCAGTTTTCGTTGTACTGCTATGATTGAAGATGAATAGTTCGGAAAAAAATTCACAAAGAGAGAAGCTCACAACTCCAAGTTGTTGCACGGCCCCGAGGCGTCTGGGAGCATCTACAGCTGGACCCCTTATACTTCCTGTATACTTTGGCAGACGGCCCAATCAATGATCGGTCAAGAAATTTTGACCCAACCACACCCCTCATACTGGCCCTATATATCTGGGATGGATACAGGAAGGCCGGACGTGCCCGAACACGTCCGCCACGTCGGATTCGACCCACGCCGGCCCACCCTGACCGCATAAATATCTCCACCCTATTCATATCCGGACATAGCCTCTGCACTCCACTCCACTTTGAGTTCGCGTAACTCCGCCTCCGGCTCCTTTCTCGCGAGCTCTAGTCTCCTCTGACATTGCGGGCAGCAAATCCAACTCTGTCGACTTGGACATCGTCCCATGAGGGAACGGGGAGGAGATGGCCGTCCGCCTAGCTCTCCGTCGCTCCCTGGAGGAATCCGTCTGACGTCGGACTGAGTCGATCCGGCTGGAATCCATTGCGTCTGCGCAAGCGGTGTTTAGATCCTCCTGCGCTGGTAGCTTGAGGCGTGTGACCGTGGTTGATGGCCCAATGCTGGCGGTGAAGGAAATATGCCCTAGAGACAATAATAAAGTTATTATTTATTTTCTCATATCATGATAAATGTTTATTATTCATGCTAGACTTGTATTAACCGGAAACATAATACATGTGTGAATACATAGACAAACATTGTGTTACTAGTATGCCTCTACTTGACTAGCTCGTTGATCAAAGATGGTTGAGTTTTCTAGCCATAGACATGAGTTGTCATTTGATTAACGGG